GGGGCTGCAGGGCAGGACTGAGGGGCATTGGCAGAGCTGTGTAGGGAAAGTTTACAGCTGAACACTGCAAATTGTACCTGACTTTGCCCACTGTATTCAGGAGCTGCAAGCTATGACAAGAACATTGGGATGGTAGAGATCTTTACTGAGGGCTGGTTTTATCAAATGTTTTCTCCCTGCTTTTTCCCAGCTAGGCCTTGTCTGGGATCTCTTGCAGATGACCTCTTGGGCAGAGCGTGAGTTCTTGTGTAAAGAGAGGCATACCGCATGGCCAGGGTTTTCCCCAAGAGCTTATCATAAACTGGCAGTTGCAAGACCACCATGCACAGACATCAAGATCAAAGTTCGTCAGAAACTGCGCTGCCCCTGGGAAGACACTAGCCGCTGGCACATCTGGGGATACCACACCTGGCTGGATGTAGGGAGGCTGCCACCACTCTTCCCTTCGAGGCCGGACATACCTTATGACAGCAACGTGTGGCGATGGATTACTGCTCCCAGGACATACTGCATGCCTCAGCCGCCCGTCCCGCCTCCCTCAGAGATGGATGGGAACACTTACCTCAAGTTCATCGCACAGGGAGCTCTGTTTTTAGACAAGAAACGTACAGAAAGAGCTGTGGCCCAAATACAGAAAGAGCTACAGGAATGCAAGCGACTAAAGATGATGAGCGAGTGCCGAGCTCCCCCCATAAACAGCCAGGGAAATATTTTGCCTCCTCAGGACTTCAACCGGTAAGGAGCACTGATTTCCCCGTGCCTCATCAGTTGCTGTGGAGCATATGTCAGGAAATGGAAACTTAACCACCAGCTCACAAAGGATTGGTGGTAGGTGGGCTTCCAACTGCATATGAAGCATCTAGCATTGCTCATTGTCTGGCATTGGATAGCTGGGCAGATTTTATAGACTCCAATTTTACAATTCCTGGGTTACGTCGTAGTGATAACATTGCTGGTGTCTCCCCTCCACAGGAGCAGCTGAGGTCCAATGGACTGTGCACAGCATTAGAAAAGTACTTGTTTCCGAGTCATTTGTGTGATCTTGGGCAACAGTCATCAGTGCTCTATGCCTCAGATTTTGCCTCTGTAAAATAGGGATAATGGAGTCATAGATTCTAACACCAGAAATGTTAGATATTAGGGAAATCTTTCTAACTATGAGGGTAGTTAAGCCCCCCTCACTGCAGTTTTTAAGAACAGGTTGGACAAACAACTGTCAGCGATGATTCAGGTTTACTTGGTCCTGCCTCGTCGCAGGGGGATGGGCTTGATGACCTCTCAAGGTCCTTTCCAGCCCTACATTTCTATGATTCTGTCATCTAGTCTGACCTTCTGTATATCACAGGTCACCAACACCACCCAGCCATCCCCGCACCAAGCCCACCAATCAGAATTAGACCAAAGTAGGCCATCCCTTAGGAGACAACACTTCTCTGTATCACTGGCAGAGAACAGGAGGGATGGAGCATTGGTCCCTGTAATCAGGGCCAGCTCTAACTTTTTTGCTGCCCCAAGCAGCAAAAAAAAGCACCGCCCCCCGAGCCCCCCCCCTCCCCGAGCGCTGCGCCGCTGGACCCCTCCCCGAGCGCCGCGCCGCGCCCCGCGCTGCCCCCCTGCTGAGCACCGCCGGAGCCCGCCCCCCCCTGCGAGCGCCGCGCCGCCGGAGCGCCCCCCCGCTGCGGAATGCCGCGCCGCGCTGCCCCCCCCGCCACCCCAAGATTGGCCGCCCCTTACCAGGTGCCGCCCCAAGCATATGCTTGGTTGCCTGGAGCCAGCCCTGCCTGTAATGGCCAGGAATTCGTGTAGTGAGCTGAACACAGATAACACGCCCCTTCCTTTGGAAAGCACTGAGATGTTATAGATGAAGAGCTATGGCAGGGGAAAGGAAATAGAAAGGGAGCCTCCTTCTAACCACCTTTCCCACATGCAACCCTGTGCTAATAGTGACCAATAGCCCCTTCCCCTGCCTAGCACTACACTCCTCAGTACCCCCTGATGCTGTCTTCAGTTCTCCAAGGACCAATGGTGGATTAATGCATGGGTCCATGTCTAGTGGTCCCGGCCAATTTGGGGGCCCCTGCAGGAGTAACAGAACCTGTAAACCTGTACAGAAGTGGGGAGGTCACCAGTGCCAGAAATGTGCCCCTGCCCCCCCCCCCCCCCCCCCCCCCCCGGACCCCATCCCCTGGGCAGGCTGGAAGCTGGAGCCAGGCCATGGTAAGAGCCAGCCGGGGAGCCTGGGCTGCTCTGGGGAGCCCTGGGTGGGGGGACCCAAAAGCAGTCCCTGGCCAATGTCCTCTCTGGGGCTTCCCACAGCAGCTCGGGTTCCCTGGGTGGCTTTTACTATGTCCTGGCTCAGGATTCCAGCCTGACCAGGGCCCTGCAGGGAAAAGGAGGAGCAGGAGGCAGTGCCCCATAGCGGGGGGGTGGAGGTGGGGGGGAATATTCTTTGTACCCAGGGTCCCAATAAATCTTAATCTGCCTCTGCCAAGGATAGCCTGGTTCTCTCCGAAAGGCTTAACCTTAACTCTGAGGAGAAAGCTTAGTCCCTACAGAGCCGAGCGGCCTGGGCTTGAGTTCCCTGAGCACTCACTCGAGTAACGCTTTAATCCTTGGCATGGAATGCCATTGCCAACGTGGAGCCAACACTGTCAGCAGCTGAGCTGCAAACACCATCCCTGCCCTTGGAGCCCTGACTGGTGAGGGGATGAGTAGGGGATGGCCTCTCCACCCCCACCCCCACCCCAGCACAGCCTTAGTTGGCTATACAGCTGGCAGAAGATCACACCCCTGCTGACAAGGTCTCTTCCTACTGGAGGATGAGGATGCCATTCAGGTAGAGGCTACAGGAGAAGACATGTGCAGCAGGTACAGGAAGCAGCCTGGGTGTGTGGCCACCATGGCATGTCTACACAGCCTGCATTGACAGACTCAAGGTAGTGGGGCTCGCGCTGGCACTCTGAAAATAGACAGCACTTTGAAGTTGTGGCTCAGGCTGGTGCTTGGGCTCTGAAGCCTAAGGAGGGGAGTAGGCTTCAGAGCCTGAGTTCCAACCACAACTTCAAAGAGCTGTCTACACAGCTGGTTTTAGAGTGCTGGAGCAAGCCCTGCTAGCCCAAGTCTGTTGACCTGGGCTGGAAGGCTCAGTGCTGTGGGCTGCATAGTCATACCCTATGAGCTTGTGTAACACCACATGCAGAGAGCAGGGCAACCTAGAAGAACACAGAGATGTTTAGAAGTGTGGTAGTTGCTGAATGTACTTAGTAGCTATTTCTAAAGCTGTACTGAAAGTTTCCATTAAGGGCAGGCAGTCTTGCAGGTACCACACATTCACTCTCTGAGAACAGAGCCAATCGGAGTTCTGGTGGAAAGGATTATAAATATTGGAGTTACAGACAGCCCGCCAGACTTAACGACTAATCAGTGCAGGACCAAGAGATGTGTCTGCTGTGGAAGCTGTATCCTAACACCTGTGCAGCTTTGGACAGAGGCTGAAGCTCTAGAAACTGTGGAGACTGTTGGCTATGGGACTGGAATTACTGTTGACTGCATGGAGCTTCTGATAATTTTGCTGAGGAGATTCTGAGGTGTTTGGCAGGGTACTGAGAGGCTGCCATTTTCCTTGGGCTCTGTAGAATCCAGGTGACACCTACATTTTATGCCAAATCTCAGAGGGGAATGTATCTGCATGTGTGTACCAAAGAATAAAAGTTGATCTGTTCTGTTGAAACAGGGGACTGATCTATATAACAAAATGGGAAGTCTGGATAAGTAACACCAGTAGCTTGACCCTCTAGTAGTTTTGTTTAAGAAATTATTCAAAAATACTGTTTGCAAACATTTGTGTACCTATTAAATGGTTGTTCACTAAGAAGTTGTATGGTACTCTCTCTCAAGCTGACTGGCAAATGTTGTTAACACTGACATCCAGGGGCTTTGCACACCATAGCTCTGAGGTTAACTCTGTGTATGTTTTCTTTATAATTTTCTGCAAAGAATGTACTCTGATCTGTGCTTCTGCAGAGCAGTAAGGTGCGGTGCAGGAAAAAGGAGAATGTAGAAGTTATACATATTACCTCAGCACTCCGCCAGCCTATTACAATTGACTACATGCAAGAATCCCCCAGAGCCCATGGGGAAGAAGGTGCCGTGATCTGTAGGGTGACCAGACAGCAAATGTGAAAAATGGGGACAGGGAGTGGGGGGTAATAGCAGCCTATATAAGGAAAAGACCCAAAAATCGGGATTGTCCCTATAAAATCGGAACATCTGGTCAGGCTAGTGATCTGTGACTACGGGACCAATGTTGCTGAGCCATTTGGACTGTTTGTTTGCTGACAATGGTGTTGAAGTGATTCCTGGGTGTATTCCCGCCTCTCCAAAGGCTGAAGGAGGGTTCTCCACCCCAAGGCAAGGGGTGGGAGTTTGGAAAAACCTAACTTCAGGAGAGAAGCCCCATCACACCAACAAGCAACTTCTTCCTGCTGTGGAAGCCTGGCTCAGACACCCCCCACTTCCTGTTAAGGATTCATGCTGAACACAATAGTTCCATCAGCTATTTCCTGTACCAATAAGTACTGTAAGTAGAATGACCACTAGAGAGCACTCACATCATAGAAATTAGGAATGAAACATTTTAGCTCATCTCTGCAGCTAGGATTGTTTCAAGTACAGTAGATTACCTAGTGCTGTGTCCAGCCTAGCTTAGAAGTCCCAAGGGATGAGGCTTCCATTACTTCCCTTGGGAGACTATTTTACAGCTGCCCTAATGCATCTCTCCACCAGGAAGTTTCCTCCGCCTCCGTGATATTCTGCCTAAATGTTAGTCCCTTAGTTTCATACCATTATTCCTCATTATATTGCCACGAAGCAGCTTAAACAATTGCAGGCTCTCAGTGATATTCGAGTGACTGGCAAACATTACTCAAAGCCAAATTATCTAAGTACTGTAGATCCTTAATTCTCTTTGTTGTTCTCTCTCCCCTTTGCACGCACATGTTGCTGTGCCTGCTGGAGCCCCTGGAAGATGCCTATTCCTTTCAGACAAGGAGGTTCAGGCCAAGCCTGGCTATAGGACAGGACACCACTCCTCCCTAGTATTGATCAGGGGATCATGCTAATGGCTAGTAGGTCTGTACTTCTATGAGCAGGTGCTCCATTCCTGTGACTGGGATCAGTCTTGAAGAATGTTCTCCAGCAGACGGGGAGACCTTTACCCAGTGCAGCATGGTAACCAAGTATATTACCCCGTTCTACAGAGAGAATTAGTATTGACAGTCGGACCCTAATAATCTACCATCCCTCCAATCCTATGGGAGCTAGCTAAGTCATGGAAAAAACAGCAAGGTACCTCTCTGTCTGGAAACTTAACACATTGATCCTCCCTTCCTTTTTAACAGATACAGACACCTGACTGCAGGAAGAGGCCTGCAATCTCTCTCTGTCCAGCTGCAGCCAGTCAGACCTGCAACTAGAGACTGTTGGGACTGGCCTTGCCCCAGCCTCCAACCCCATTACCAGGAGGCAGCACAGAGACTCGCCTTGAGGAACAGCAGTCCAGTCTATGAAGAGTTGCTGCAGAAATACCAGGAGCTGGCTGTGTCTGGGAGACAAACAGGGTACTGTAACCCTCCCAGCAAACAGAACCCAGAACACTAGAGGGGCTAATTCTAAGGCTCAAGAGGGCTGTTGGGGGCTATAGGCAGGGGACCCAACTATGTGGGTTTGCACAAGCCATTATGTCAGAGGACAGCAACCAGCATCCCAAATACTGAGAGTGCACTGGTGATGCAGGCAGGATCTGCCAGCAATCAGGCACCCCCAAAACAGCAAGATATCTCTGCCACTTGATATCAAAGATCATCATCCAGGAACCTCCACCACAAAAACACTAATGTAACAACTTGGCTTTAAAACAGCTTGGGAGTCCCCAGCACTGAGGCACACCTGCAGCGCTTAGGTAGTACTAAGTCATGTTGATTGCCCGTATTTCCCTTTGCATCTTGGATTTCAGATGTTTACTGTTGAGCAGGCCTGCATTCTGATAGCCCTAGGGTCTCTGGCACCTGCCCAGGAAGATCTCCTTCTCTTTCCATCTGTGAACTAGGTGGGTGCTGAGCTTACAGGTATCCCCAGCTACAACCAGGAAGTCCTGTTGCCCCTCTTCAAGGTTGTCCACATCAGAGATCAGGCCCTTGATTCTTGTATAAAATGCTGAGTAGGTGGGTTGAAGCTTTCAGTTTGATTTGTGGTGGATGGGAGCTGTAACAAGGCAGCATGTGGTGCTTGGTCAGGATGAGTGGGAGTGGCCTGTTACTAGGAAGAAAGCTTGGTCAGTGTGTGTCGCTTGGTCTTTCGGTCAATGGTAGGGGGAGGTGTGTGGCTTGGTTGACATAGGAGTATGGGGGATTGGGAGGGTCAGTAACTGGGTGCAAGGCCTGGCTGGCATTGAGGGAGGGGATTCTGTACCTGGGAGGAGAGCTCAGGGTGTATGTGTGGGGTGGGTATCAGGGCAGAGGGACAAGTCAGCATGGGGTCCCATGGGACAGGCAGTTTGCCTGACGTGGGAAGGTTGTACCTAGGCAGAGGATTCATGAGGCATATTTGCCTGAGGGGTGGAATGCAACCATGAGGCAGGATCATTCCACCTGGAGCGCAGCTTTCTATATGTGGGTAGGGTTTGCGTCAATCAAACTTTCCGTCTTTAGATTCAGTATTTTATTTTCCCGCCTCAGGAAGAGCTGGGCATACCAGTGGTAACTCTCCTCTTCCACCTCCTCTCATGGACTAGGCAAATACTTCAGAGCACATCACAAATAACGGAGTCGTTCAGTAACATTCCCCTGTTCTTACTGCAGAGCACTTTCCACAGAGATGCTACGCGTGAGAATTCTGAGACCACCATTTAGGAGAGATTCTAGATAGCCCCATGTTAGAGGGCTTATTCCTTCACCCTCTCACTTCCCTGGTCCTTCTCGCATGAACAGAGAGCAGCAATGTCCAAAGGAGCAAACAATTCAATGTTTATTGGGGTGAACTTCCAGCAAGCAATGATTCCAATTTCCTTCTTCAGTGTCCCCCTTCCCAGCTCTGACACCACAGAGCCTTGCCTGTATCTCTGTTCCCATTCCCCCCCCCCTTAGCAAAACATGATTCCAATTCCCCCCCACACTTCCTGATTGACTGCAGACTATATAGTAAAACTTGAGTTCTGCTTAGCTCTGAAACCAATCATTTTACTTAAATTTAACTAACCAATCCTAACATATTGTAACATGATTATCTAACCAATTATATCCCACCACCTTAATTGGTTTACACCTAACAAAATTAATTATACAGCAGACAGAAACAATCACAGAACCAGACAGAGATTATACAGACTAACAATAGGGAAATGGGGACTACAGTGATCGAACAACAAAGAAAGGAGATTTTCACACTCCAGCTATTGATAAGTGAGTTCTTGCCAGACGGGATGCTATCAAACTACGTTTTCTTTAAATCTTCTAGGCTCTTCCCTTTCTCTGGAGGTGATAAATTGGATCACCCAGGGCCGTCCTTACCCATACGCAAAGTACGCAGCTGTGTAGGGTACCAGGAAACTTGGGGCACCAAATTTCCTGGTGCCCTGCATACTGCTCCAGCCCCTGCCCCGCCTCTTCCCGCCCCAGCCCTACCCCTTCCTGCCCCTGAGGCAGCAGCAGGGCTGGGCCTGCACTCACCGCTCAGTGGTTTGAGCATTGGCCTACTAAACCCAGGGTTGTGAGTTCAATCCTTGAGGGGGCCACTTGGGGATCTGGGGCAAAATCAGTACTTGGTCCTGCTAGTGAAGGCAGAGGGCTGGACTGGATGACCTTTCAAGGTCCCTTCCAGTTCTAGGAGATGGGATATCTCACCGGTGGCGGGAAGTGCAGGGACCTGGCCTCAGCCATGCCATTGGTGAGTGCTGGGGGGTGGTTCCCCTCTGCCCCCCAAGCCAGCCCTCCCACCCCTGCGGAGGCCTGGGGCCAGCCCTCCCCACCCCCATGCATGGGCTGCGTAGGGCCCCAGAATAGCTAGAGACAGCCCTGGGATCACCTTTTTAACAGCTCAAAACTGCCTTATTTCAGTGTGACCAGGGAGAACATGACCCTTCACTTCCCAGCTTATGCTGCCCCTGCTGTTTAGCCAAAGGCCTTAGCCTAAGAACAAGGCCTTAGACTACCATAGTGAGAGAAGGCCTATAAACAGGCAGACCGATTTTGATTCTTGTTTTGTACCTCCATAACCAGCTAAGTGATAAGAATACACCTACATTCTTAAAGTATAGGCCTTTACAGACAGGCCTGACTATCTATATCCTAACACCCCACATGCTGTGACTTATCTTTAGGGGAAGGAGATCTTTTTAAGGGCCTGATTTGCAAAGGAGCTGAGCGCCCACAAATCCAAGTGAACTCAGTAGGAGCTGCAGGTGTTCAGCGCCTCTGAAAATCCGCCCTAAGACTGGAAAAAAAGGCACAGGGAGAGCGACTGACTAGTCCTCTCCAGTCAAGCGACTACTTTCTCCTGCCCTCCCTAAGTGGGATACCTCCTACTGCATACTGGACTGATGGGAAGGGCCTTGGCACTCACTGTGTTAGGGAAGTAAAGGTAATTCATAACAATTGCTTCCTGCATCTTGGCTGATGGAGCAAAAATAGGAGTTTTCTCCTTAAGGAAGGGAAAGACTTCATTCACCCCTCCAGGGTGAAAGCAGCTGTCAGGGCTCCAGCACCCAGCAGAGGGGACTCCAACATAAATAGAACCAAGAGGATCTACTTTACTTGCTGAAATCCCTGTGGAAACATCTGTCCCGGGAAAGATATAGCTCTGTTTTTTCTACTCCTCATGGTAGTGCAATATAGTTAGAACTGTCCCTGTCAGCTGACAGCAGGGTACATTGTGTGTCCTGAAGAACTGCAGAAAATAATTCAGTTTCCTAAGAGTTACATATTTGTTTAAACAAAAATCCCAAAGAATGAGGTCAAAACACCAGTGTAACCAGCTTAGTTGTCAGCATTCTTCTATCAACTGCTCTCCTGCACAGTGCTATGACAAGTTTAATTCAACTTAGGTGCATGCTAGAACATTCATTGCAACAATGAAACCTCTTTAGAATGCTCTGAGACATTCCTAGCCAGCTGGAACACACCAACTAGCATGGACTCCAGCAGACTGCACAAACATATTTGATAAATAAATAAAGCACCTCCCCAACTTCCAAAGGACCCCTTATCAGGGCATTTCCTGTCATCTTATACTAGTGTATTGCTTGAGTTTTCCTAATGAACACTGATTGGAACATTTTCCCTATTTCCTCCCCCAGCTCACAGACAGTTTTGCAAAAGCTCCCTCTTCCAAAGGTGGCCCAGTTGCTGGGGCCATGTCTTTTCCTCCAGCACATGTATGTTGAAGACAGATGCCACTGAAAAAGCCCTTATATATTCAAAACAGATGTTTTATGAAAAAGGAAACAAAAGTTGCTAGGCTGTTGGCTGGAAAGCTTAAAGAGATTCAAGAGCAACTTCTTATTCCACCAATTAAAAACAATCAGCAAAAGATAGTTACACACCTTAACAAAACAAATGTTATTTATGATAAAAACCATAGATTAAAAACCTTAGATACTCCAAGCTCTGAAGCTATTCACCAATATCTGGAAGTAACAGGCTTGCCAAAGATGAGCAAAACTGATAAAAAAAATTTTAGAGGAAGAAATAACAGATGAAGAAATTGTAGATGCAATAGCAAGTATGAAAAGTCGTAAAACTCCAGGACCTGAGGGCTTTCCACCTTCCCTTTTTGCAAGGAATTTAAGGAGGTATTAGTGGGTCCCTTGAGATGTACCTTCAGTGACATTCTGTTAAGGGAGGAACTTCTACAACCTATGAAAGAAGCTACTGTGGTGCTTCTCCCTAAAGTTGGAAAAGACCTACCTTATGCAGCTCCTATAGACCCATAGCACTGTTGAATCATAGTATAAGGATTTTAGCAAAAATACTAGCTAGCCAATTGTGGTCTATGCTCTCAGCTTATATAAATCCTGATCAAACTGGATTCATTAAGTATAGACAAATGTCAGGCAACATTCAGAGAGTACTTGGAACCATCCATAATGCCAGATCTAAAAAAGATCCATTTCTCTTGTTATCTCTTGACGCAGAGAAAGCCTTTGATAGGAACTGTCTGTTTCAAGTCCTGTGCAAATGCACTTTCCTTAAATGGATATCTGCTCTTTACACCAGCCCCAAAGCAGCTGTGCGAGTTAATGGGGTTACAGCTCCTGTTTGAATTACACAGAGGGACCAGGCAGGGATGTCCCTTGTCTCCTTTACTTTTTGCACTGGCCATGGAGCCTTTTGCACAGAGGATAAGGAACAAAGAATTTTTCCCCAGGAATAAAACTTGCAAGAACACATCAGAAAATAACTTTATATATGCATCTGATGTAGTATTATTTTTATCTAAACCAAATATTGCCCTAAAATTAGTTCTAAAGCAATCCGGGACTTTGGGAAAGCAGCTGCAGTTAAAGTAAATTATACCAAATCTGAAGTGCTAACTATAAATTAGCCAGTTTCTGAAAAGTCATTCCTCAAGAAAACATGTGGGTACAAATGGGCAACACACTCTAT